AGGACTAGAAGAGTATAAAAAATTCTCAATCCATATCAGAAACCACATGTTCATTTTAATAGTGATAAGTCTCACATACAGTAGTATGATTAAATGGGTTAAGGACAAAAATACCTATAAAGTAATATGTGAGGAGTTTACATGCATTGTAAGAACTATATTATAGTGCAATTTCACCCATCAACATTGAAAAACGGTGCAAAAATCCAATTGTTAACAAAATGCATATGTTGGCATAAATTGACAATGAATGTAAAAAAGATTGAAATTCTATCTGATCAGGAAGTATAGACGTGAAAATACATGTTTTCAAATTTACTCTAACAAATAAAAAACACAACACACAATATTTTATTGTTGTCACACTTAAAAGCCACGCCAGCACGCTTTTGATTCCAAGCTTACAAGGTACGTGGACTCCTAACTCTCACTATATAAGGGGTTCAGCGCCTTAGAAGAGGGTTCGATGGGAAGTGGTGGGCTTGGCGATTGGAGTGGGGTAAGAAGAGGTTTGAACTAGGCAATAGAGATAAAAGACAATTATCAATAAGGTTAGATCTAGCAGAAAGGGTTAATCTTCATAACGTGATGAATGGATGTTCAAATTTTTACTAAAAAATGTGCTTATATTTAATACCCGACTGTATCTCAAATAAGATTACTGATTACTTTTTAATAGCACTATAGGAGAATACATGTGTTTACCGGGGAAAAAAAAAACAAAGGAATAAAAGACATTAGGAGTGAGGATGGCTTTTTGTTCAAAATTGCTAGAAAAGGATTTAGATACCTCCAATAATTTATCTCAATGTCCAAAAATTACTTGAGGTCCCATTTAGTATGAAGCATTGAAAATAAAGGATTAAGATTGAGATTGCAATTAAATAAAATCATTAAAATAGTATTTAGCATGAGTAATTATTTATTATATGGGATTAGGCAAACCCATAGAGATGAAATTGGGGAATATCACTTCCTCCATGGTATTCTCCAATCCTACATATATTGGCTAACCCAAGCAATTTTTTATATTAAATACTCTTTTAATATATTTTCCTAATTACAGTTACAATCCTAATTTCTCATTTTCAATACTTCCTACCAAACACAACCTAACATCATCCTGCCAACGTATATCTTTGGTGAACATAAAAACGAGGAGAAGAAGAAGAAATTGAAAAGTAATAAATGAATTATCCTAGGCCATTTGGCCAAGAAGGAAACCAAGGCATAATTTTTGAAAAAAATCTTGCATTTTATACAACAAATTTTTCCTTACATATTTGTCTCGTACAGCATAAAATCACTTCAAATAAATTAATCCAAACACCCTTGAATTTAGGAAGAATGACAAAAATATACATTTTGAATTTAAAATGCTAAATATGTCATACTAACTATTTTTTAATAGTTTTGACATGTCAAAATCACATATTTATTATTATAAAATTCAATAGGTATTGTTTTACCATCTTCTCTTATATTTACTCGGTACTACGGTCTGTACATCTGGTTGCACAAATTGCATAGTATCATAAATAACTATTCCGGGTATTATCCATCCGCCTGGAGAAAAAAGAGAAAAACAAAAAAAAATTCATTATTTAGGGAAAAATAGTGTCTCACAAGTAGGGGTGTTTATGAGACAGGACGAGACAAGAACAACCCCATCCTAGTCCCGTCCTGATAATTGGGATAGGACAGTTTTTCAGTCCCTTGTTCCGTCCCGTTCCAATTGGGACGGGACATAACTGGGATGGAACAAGGACGTCCAATCTCTTTTTTTGGAGTTTTTTTTAAATCTTTTTAATTTGAAAACTAATTATACATAAAGTGTAAGAACTTATGATAGAAACTATACGAAGAAAATATAAAAATGAAGAAACAATGGCAAAGAAAAATGTTTTTTGTAATCTTGAAAGACAAAAAATAAATAAACATAAAATATTCATTACAAAGAATATCATGTAACTCGTGCAAAAACAACTTATAAGCAAATAAAAAATAACAATTGATAAATACTATAACCAAAATACTATTATAATGGCAAATAAAATAAATTTATAACAACTAAAAATAAAAATAATATATTGAGACGGAATGGGACAGGATATCCTCGTCCCGCATCCCGTCCCGTTCCAAAACAATTTCATCCCCTCCAAAAAACTTTCAGGATGGGATTGAGATAGGAAAGGGATGTCAAGACGTGTATATGGGACACAGTTGAACATTCCTTCTCACAAGTGGCGACCAGGCCGTTTTTCCATGCTGGGTGACACTGGTTCCCCAGTTCTGTTGACTGACCAGCCCTAATTCTTGGGGTTAGCAGTCAGGCATCCGTAAATATCATTTGATAATTGGCCATTAAAAAAGAGGCCCACGCGCTTATCAAACGAAACAAAAACGGACAAGGGATGATCCGGGCGGAAGGAACAAGTTCACCCGTCTTGACTTGTTCTCCCACATCCAAGCACGGGCCACTTCTATAAAAGAGAAACAGAGAGAAGGTGGGATCCTAAATCGATCAGTGGGAGAAACTTTAGTTTCTTAGAGATAGTTTATTCGCTGATACATAGGTTAAATCAGTGAAAAAAATGCCGTTGGAGATGGCTGGGGGTGCTGTTCTGGGACTATTGTTCGATCAACTTCTAGGTGAAATATGGAGAGTGAAGATTATTGCGACGTTCAGACCCAAATTGGAAGAACTCGAAGAAACCCTGGATCTATTACATCCTGTGGTCAAGGAGATTGAAGACCTAAACAGGCGATTAAACAGGACAGATTATGCAAGGGAAACCATAATGTTGAAGAGATTGCTTGAAGATGGAACGAAGCTTGTTTCCAAGTGCTCTAAAATACCAAGATGGGATTTTTTCAAACAGTCGCGTCAGCGAGAGAAGCTGGTGGAGCTGGAGAACAAAATCGTCAAGTTCATTATCCTCATGCAACCTCACATGGGAAGGGATCAAAAGCAGACATTGCTGATCGCAAAAGAGACCAAACAGATGCTCACGTCACTCAGCCAAAATGGGCATTCATCAAATCTTACTACGGGCCTCACTGCCTCGCCCGCCCATTCTTCCTGTAAGGTGATGATTTTCATCCATGTTTGGATTAAACTGTAAATTTATCTTGAAAGTTTTTACTGAATACTACACACCCAAATTTTTTGTTCTGTGAACAAAAAATTTAAAATCATAATTAATGTTTACTGTTAAAATAGTAGCATTTAAATTTAGAATTTTTAAATGAGAGAGAGCAATATGATTATTATTTTAAACTTTCATGCTATTGAGTAGCTTTGAGTGAAAACTTGTGATGACCAATTTGGACTTTTAACTCTTTATGTTTTAATCAATCGGACTTGAATTCTTGGATTGTGGCCAAAATGAAAAAAAAAAAAAAATCAGCGAGAGTGAGGACTCTTGAAACTTGGTTCTTTTCCTTGTTCAATATCAAATTGCCTTTTTTATTAAGGGTAAAAAAACCTTTTTGTTGAATAATAATATTAATAATTTAATGTATATTAAATTCTTTAAATAGAAAAAATTATAGTTTTTTTTTTCATAATGACTACTAGAAAACAAGTCTCCCCCCGGCGGGAAATAGGACTTTAGTTATATCTAATATGTTTTTTTAAATCTAACTTAGGTTTTTTATAATATAAACTGTGTTTCAGATCGTTCTCCAAGTCAGATTAGCTTGGGAACTTCATAAGATTAAAACGATGAGGCGCTTGAGTAGCAGCAATGGTAAGAAGTCACTATCAAAAAGTTTAAATGCACATGATTAATATTAAAAAATATAATATTTATTATAAATAATTAATTTAATTAATTTTTTTAATATTTATAAATTAGTTATCTAATTCTTGTGGAGTTATTATTACTTTCTACTACTAGTTTAGATATAGCGATATTGATTTAGAGCATTCTTTTTTTGTTTTCCCACGCCTATAGTCTTTTACTTGGCTGAAATTGAAATTATGACTTAGATAGGGAAAATTGGGAAAAAAAATTTCCTTAAAAACTTTATTAGAAAGATCCAAATTAAAGTATGGATACCTCAGGTGTATGAAATTCATAGAGTATTAGCATTTTTGTGTAAAAAAATTTATTAGATCATTTTCACCTATAAAGTTTTTAATAGAGAATTTTTCTCCTAAGTTTTCCGTTTCCATATGAAACACATACATGGTGCTTAAAATTTCCACCTTTGATTATCTTGCATGGAAAGAATTAAGCGGGAAGAAAAATATAGGAAGAGAGAAAATAGAAAGGAAAGAAACAAAAAAAAAATATTTTCATCATTTTTTTGGGTTGAATGAGAGGAAATAGGAAAAAAAAAAAAGAGTAAATATCTAAATGACTAAAATATTTTTTCATATAAAAAATATCCTGTTTAATATCAAAATTAAATACTGCAATTGAAAAATCATATGGATATCAGCATGATCAAATAATTTAAAATCACTTTAGTAAAAATATAATTTAAAATCAAATTATTTGATAAGGTTATAGTTTGATGTTATTGTATTTTAAAATCAGATAATTTAGATAAAAATGTTATTTTTTGAGGTAAGAAACAAATTAAAAGGGGATAATATTTTCAAATCAGATATAATAAAAAAAATAAATAAATTAGATATTATATAATATTATTAATAAATTTGAAAATATATATATAAAAAATAAAAGATAGATGGCATGAAAGGAAAATGAGTTTTTTTTTTCATATTTTCTCTCTTTATGTAGAAAGAAAATTGGAGTGAGTCTCACCCATTTTTCTCAAACTTTTCTTTTCTCATGCTTTTTCTCTCATGTCTAAATGAGGAAAAACTCACTTCTTTTCTTATTTTTCTTCCTAGTTCTTTTCTTTCCTCATTTATTCTCAATCCAAATGAGGGGTTAGTCTCATTCTCCCATATTTTTTTCCCTTGTAGTAAAAAGGGAGGTGAACATGTCAAGAATTCTCAGTCTTTGGTGACACCTCTGCAGGAATTAGATCAATTCCAGGCGAAGTGTTCCGCAGGATGCGTGAAAAATTCACAATGAGCGCAACTCCGACAAGGTGAGCACATAGAACAAAAACAGATATATCTTAGTGGAATTACAATCAAGTCTTAAAAAAAATAATTACTAAAAAATCTCAATAACAAGTTGAGCAACCTTTAATGATAAGTTTCAGAATAGAAGATAATAACCTTTAAAGCTTGTTTTGTATTTTTTTTCTTGGAACCTCATTGTAATTTCGCTTTATATATATATATTTAAATGTACAAGTAAGCTCTCTGCTTTTTCCCCCCACATACGCAAGCTCTCCTCTACAAATTATAAGTGAATTATTGGTAAATATTTTTCCTTTCCCTAAAAAAAAAAAACAATGAATATACACCTATTGAAAATCTAACTTGTTTATAACGTCTATAGATATGATTTTACGTCTGCGTTCTTCAACCTTCATGAGACTAATAATAACTCTATAATTATCATCATCTTATTAATCCGTATTTTTATATGACTTTTCAGAATCGAGTATTATTGGACTCAATTGAGAGGAACTCTGTCAAAAGCATTTTCTGCATTTACATGGAATCGAATTCGAGATTTTATGCGTCCAAAGCCCTTCTCACAAGAACCACCAAGGTAATTTGTCTTTTAAATTTTCCATCCACAAATGAGAGAATGCATTTAAAATCTCAGCAGGTATTATCCAATTATTGAAGAATTTTCCTACTAGCCTTTTGGAATTTAGTTAAAATACTATAATTTAAAAAAAAGGGGGGGTCTTTTGGTTCACCTGTGAATTTTCTACTTTTCACCTGAAATTGATTTGTAAACCCGGAAGTGATAGTTGTCAATCTCTATTATAGTCTTTGTAAAAAATTTTAAGCAAATTTGTGAATACATTTTCAATGACCTTTTCATATCTACCCTTAGCTGATAAAGCCGAATTATACCTTATAAAGTATTTATATTGGAGCTTAAATTCCATATACTACCTCTTATTATTAATATAAGACCTTATTTGATTTTTATTTGGTCTTAAATATAAAACCTCAATTCACTTTGTCTCTCATATTTATGCATTTTTTTCCAAAATAATCCTCTAATAATGGTAGTTCTAACTAAGACACTTGATTAGTAAGGATATTTTAGGAAAGACAACACATATTTGTTACAAATAACTAACTTAACTTCTTTCCTTAATCTCCTCAAATTAGTCAACTAACTCTTATAATTAGGATTAGGGGTAATATTTTAGTTATGTGTTGAGGGGAATTCAGTGTGCTTTCACCTCCTCTAATCTTCTGTGGAATTCTCAGGTATATTGTGCAGAAGGAAAGGAAAACTGATGAGAGACATGTTCAACAACGGATAAAGAAGGAGACGGCACGGAAAAGAGGGAGACGGGACGGGCGGAAACGCCACGCCATGGACGGAAGAGCAAATACACCTCAAATGCGCCAAGAATGACGAGCGTAACATGAGAGCGGATAATTAGGACACTTTAGGAGTAATTGCTCTTAGAGATAATAAGCTTAGTCAATATCATATTGATTAATTATAAAAAAATCATATTAATTAAGATTTTGTATTAGTTGACGACCAAATTGTGTATATGTAGGGTCTTTGCCTGAGTTATATGTGTGGGATAGTAAAATTCTCATCTAATATAGGTCCTTTCTTAAGCCCCAAGTGGAGTTTGTCGTTCACCTTTGATGGGTCTATGGTTTCACTTTTTTTATTATTAATGAGAATTTGATCATCTTTATTTTTCATTGCTTAACAATTATTATTATTATTATTATAATAGGCTCATAGTTAATGCAAAGAGAAGTGACTAGCAGCTAGTAGGATGAATCCGAATCCTATTATGCTTCGGTGATTGGATATTTCTCTTGTTAAATTCATATAGTTATTTTCTTATTTGCACTCTTCTCATTAATTTGATTTATGAATCAAATATTTCTCCCTTTTTCTCTACATGTAATGGGAATGACAAAATCTATGCCTTTATCTGGGGTCGACACTTGAAATACTTTTTTGATTCTAAATATAAGACACATTTTATAGTGGAAATTACACTATAAAATGGATATTATATTTAGGGCGGATGGAGTACTTCAACAATTTATTATTGCGGTGCCATATACATCTGATTAGGTTCTGGTTTTAGTGTGAGATTGGCTGCATGTTTCTCCAGCTGCTCTAATATTGCATCCATTCTTAGAATCATCTCCCTAACAATACTCATATCTCTTGCCCACCCCTCAATGCTCCATCTCTCATCCCTTGGCCTAACTCATGCACATCCAGATGAACACTTTCCCCCGTTCTTCTCTACTCTGCCCCTAGGATTGGGTTGGTCTAATACCAAAATGTTAGGACCCTGCTTTAAACAAATATGTCAACAATATTACAACTAGAGATAGATAGCAAAATGTAGACATAAGAATGACAATAAGTTCATTGCAGAATACAGGGGAAAAAAAATACAGACACATAACACAATAACTCTACACTTTCGATAGGTCAGGGCTCTCCAAAACCTTACCATTCTTCCAATAGATTTCCTATTCCCCCTCTCTGAAGCAAAGGAAGGATTTGAAGACTCAAAAAGTGAATTTCACAATTTAGAACTGATAGACTTTAACTATCACAGCTATATAGCTACCTTACTCTCTATTTTCTTTTTCAAAATAGCAGGTCAAAGTTCTGCCAAACAAAAAAGTACCTTTCCCTTAGCATCTATTTTCCCAGGTTTCCAAAAGTGATGCTAACCGTGAACTCTTTTAGAGGGGACATGCTAACAGAGTTTGCAGGTTTGTATTTTCTTGAACCTTTGAACCTCTCTTACAAAGGCAATGAATCCTTCCGGGGATGTCCATTGACACAGAATTGCAGTTTGGGTGAGATTCCAGGTTTGCAAATACCATCTTGAAAAACAAATGAATCAAATTAAATGATGGGAACTCCAATTGATTGGAATTTTTTAAATGCTGAATTTTTTTAAATATACAAAGGCATTTAGTCACACACTTGATTATTTTGATGGTGGAAAAAATTAGTTGCTGCCGCCAACAATATTAAGGGTCTGTTTGGGACTATGTTTGGGCCCCCAAACGTGCGTCCCAATTTGGCTTTTAATGTGACTGTGGTTTTACATGTTTGGATCTGTGATGGTGCTATCTAACTTGTGAGGCACAAATGGGCTTCTGGGAGAAGCTTATTTTGGGTGCTTTTTTCCGAATGCGCAGCTACGTTGAGAAAACCATTGGAGTATTTTATTATGGTGTTAATTATTTTACCTAACTGACCCTCCTACATGCTTTTTCTCTCACTTCAGCTCAAAGAAAAAAAAAAGACACACACGCACTCATTTTGAAAGACGCTCTGAAGCTAAACTCCTCACGACGTCTACTGCCATATCCCCGCCATGCCCCCGCCGTCTACTGTCGTGTCTCCGTTGTGTTCCACCGTCTCAACAATTTGGGTTCTTATGTGGGAGTTGGTGGACTGTGGTCGTTCATTCAGTTCTTCCACTGTCTCATAAGTTCTTTCCTCTGTTCGTTCAGTTCTTCTAGCGTCACCATTCGTTGTCGTCGCCGTCTCCGCCGTGTTCCACCGTCTCATCAGTTCTGGTTGTTGTGTGGGACTGGCTGGACTGTGGTCGTTCGTTCAGATCCTTCAAATATCATTGTCATTCATCTTCTTCCTCTATTCAGTTGCAAGTGTCACCATCCGTTTTCACCGTCGCCGGATCGCATCTGCTTCTGATCCACACTGGTTAGAGTGTTGTTTGTTCACCTAGTAAGAGATACATGTTTTTGGTCCTAAATCTGCTTGTCTTCGATTCTTGTTCTTGGCTACCGTTGGACCCATAGCTGTTATTGATTTAGGAGTGTTGATATGATGTTCTTGCTCTTTGATCTAATGTTCTTTCGATTAATATGGCCTGGCTGTCGAACTTGGTAGCAGTGTAGTATGAAGAACTGACTTGGTAGTATCGATGAATGTGGTTTTTTGGCTCTGTGTGTTTAGTCTATCTTTCCTGTTAGTTATTTGCGATATGCTCAAACTCGTTGGCACATTTTAGTTTGAAAATTTGAAGATCTGTGTTTCTATTTATTTGTAGTTCTGTGTTTCTATTTATGATTTGTTGTTCTGGTGAACTGACTACCCCTTTCCTGTTAATTATTTGCCACAAGCTCCGAAAAGTATGCGTTTTTTAGTTTGAAAATCTGAAGATCGGTGTTTCTAAAAAGTGGCGTATATATTCATCAATGATGCTTATTGTTGATAAGTATGTTTTACAAACCTAAATATATATGATTGTGAGATTATAATTTATAAATATTATATATATTAGATATTTCCTCTCATATTTATTTACAAAAGAAACATAATATTTCTGCATTGTTGGAAGAAAAGTGCTTTGGTTCACTGTAACTCCCTTTTGCATTCTTGATTGACATTTTTTAATAGAATTATGAACAAAGAAAAAGGTAAGGCAACATGGGATACAAGCACCACAAAGGTGTTACTTAAAGAATGCATGGAGCAAATCTACCAGAAAAATCGTCAAGGAACATCATTTTCAAAGCCTGGGTAGAACAACATTCACTCTGCATTCAATGCAAAAACAGGAAAATCATATGAGAGGAAGCAATTGAAAAATAGGCTCGATAGCTTGAGGAAGGATTGGAGGACATGGGTTGATTTAACCAAAGAGACTTGTGTAGGTTGAGACCCTATAAACAATACAGTGGTGGCAACAAATGAGTTGTGGGAGAAGAAAAAACAGGTATATAATTGTTAATCTTGAGTTATGAACTGTGTTATTACTTGTTATAGGCTTTTTATTTTTGTTGATTGTATTCTTGCAGGAGAATCCCCAGTATGAAAAGTTTAGGTACCAAGGGTTAAAGTTTGCTCATGGATTAAACACGATATTCAAGGGTGTGATAGCATCTAGAGAGGATATGTTGGCACAGTCTTTAACCCAACCTCAGACACAAGAGGATGACGAAGAGAATGTGTATAGAGTTGGTATAGATCTCCTTGAAGGATCGGGGGATAGCGAAGAAGATCTTGGAGGTGCTAGTGTAGGAGTTACAGATGAGATGGTAGGCGTAAACTTAATAGCAAATACTGCACCTAGTGGTTCAAGAAGCCATAGGAAGAGGAAGAGAGGCGAAGGGTCTAGCAGGCAAAAAAAGAAAAAAATTCCAGCCTCAAGACAAATAGCAAATTTAGTTAGTGAAATAGCTACTGCATCTAAGGATAGAACAGCGGTTCTAAACAAAATAAAAGAGGTATCAATTTCTGAGGTTACGACCGAAGTGCTCTGCCTTGAGGAAATTACAAGTAACTGTAATTTCCGAAACTAGTACTTAAGACTTTTGTTGCACAAGAGTGTTCAGGAAATGGTTGTTTCACTAAAAGGACAGTTGGAATACTTGGTTGCATGGCTATAGGATATGGCATACAATCCACCATCATGGTTGAAACTCCCGCCTGCTTGAACTATATTTTAGGATGCATGTTATGACTTTATTTTGTCTAACTCGGACCAGAGTTGTTATTATATGTTTTTAAGTTAATGTTTGTGGAACTATGAAATTATGTAACTTGTTGACTAATTATGAATGTTTTGAATATTTCTAAGTTAAATGTGTTATTTATAGTGGTAATTGCAGCTTATGAATATTTTTAGACTAATTTTTATGTGTTTGCATGTTTAACAGCAAAAGAAATATTTATTTGCACATAACTAAAAATATTTATTTGTCGCTTAAAAAAATTCTTACAGTTGAATTTAACCACACTCACAGGTGACATTACCTACCTATGGCAAATTGGAACAATCAATTTACGTTTGAGTGGATGGAGGAAGATGAACAGTCTGAAGAGGAGTCAGAGGAAGATGAACAATCTCAATTGATTTCCTTTTTAGATGAAGAGATAACACAGTATGAAGAGGTAGCTAAATTGGTGAGTCAATATGTGATGCTTTATGTGTGCAAAGAGCCACGAAGAACTAGTCAGCAAACAAGTAATTTATAGGTGCAAGAAATTTTGCGAGATCATGAAGTTTGGTGTTATGACATGTTTTGAATGGAAAAAGAAATGTTCATGTGATTATGCTTTAAACTAGTCGAACATGGTTTACAAAATTCTAAGTATCTGGGAGTGGAAGAAATTGTTGGTATGTTTTTGAACACGGTTGGTCATGGACAATGTAATAGGATGATTCAAGAAAGATTTCAACATTCAGGAGAAACTGTAAACAGGCATTTTCATAAAGTATTACAGGCTTGCCTTAGTCTATCTAGGGAATATATCAAACCACTCGATCCTACGTTTTCTGTAACTCACCAAAAATAAAAAACGATAAATGATATTCGCCATATTTCAATGATGCAATAGGAGCAATTGATGGCACTCATGTACGATGTGTGGTGAGTCTTTCAAAGCAAGACAAATAT